TTTTATTTTTATTCATACTTATTTTCCATTTATTTGTATCTTCTACATATATAATACTTAATATTTTACTTCATTGTCACCCACTATATCTCTGATATCATCTTTTATTTCTTAATCTGACAACTTCTTCTTATTTTATACCTACTTATATTTAATTTTCATTCTCAACATGCTTTGTAGCTTTTGTAGCCCTGAAGACGACCTGCAAAGTGGGTCGAAACGTCGGCAAAATTAAAATAAAATAATTACTATATTTTAATTTAGTATTTATCTGACAGCACCCCCGACTAACTCCTTCTCATATTATATCAACGGTCAACCATCTCTACATCATTATATATATAACATATATAGGTAAGTGAAATTAAAAATATTTAATTAGGTTTGTAAGTGAAAGATGTGTGATGTAATCCGCACCAGATTTTATTTATTCGTATTTTCTTCAAACGCCTTGAGGAAATTTTCTCTTGACTGCGAAGAGGGTGTATTTCAATATGCCGGAGCTCGGAAAACGTTAAGGAGGGAGGGGTAAAGCATATTTGAAAACAGTTAAACGCAATTTATTAAGGAGTTTACCGACGCGGGGAGTTGAAAATAAATACATATACGGCCTCTCCTTTATGGGGAAAAGTGGAAAATATCTGTTGGGCGGGAGAGGGGCTGTACATCATTTCCCTGTTACAGGGCACATCCAAGGGGAGGGGGCGAGAAAGGGGACTAACCCCCCTAGCCTGCCCCAGGGCCGAATCGACTCCCGTAGAGACTATTAAATTTCTCTCCTCTGTGTTCTCGCCCTGCCTTCTAATGTCTCAGTCCCCACAACCTCTTTCCAATTAAAGTGCGCCCCCCCCCCTTTCGTTTCGCTAAATTGTCTAATCTAATGTCTTATTCATAATGTTACTTAACTTAGTAACCTTCAATTAATATAAAAGTGAACGTACGCCCCAAAGGGATGAAACTGAATAACAAAATCCCAAGATCCGACGAAGCGGAATAACATTAACAGCAATATTAAACTTTTATAAATAAAAATAATTAATAAACGCTGCAAATTATTTCATAATGGTTTATTATTTCATAGTTACAAAGAAAAATAAATAAAAGGTGATTCCAATAATTGAACTAAACTCTTTTTTTTTTAACCATTAGTAATATGCTGAAAAAAAAATATCATTACTTCAGTAACACATTCAAAATTTAAAAACCAAAATAAAGGATATAACATTTGCAGTAGAACATATAAAAAAAACTAGACACCATATATTTGCTCTTTATTGTCCAATTTTAGCTAGCTTTTTTATGAAATTCCGTAAAATTAAAAAAAAAAACATACAATATCGACAAAAAAGTGCATACTTTTTGAGTTATTCGGAATTTTACCACCCCTCATAACTTTTTTTCCACCTTATTTTCGTTGAAGTATGTTGTGTAGAGAAATTTAAAGGACGTCAAGAAAATGACTTTAGCGAAGTTTCATTGAAATCGGTACATTCGTTTTGGCGCCATTTTGAAAGCAAAAGGCGGATAGTAATGTCGATGAGGGAGGATCATCTTCCAGTGACCTCTGATTTTATGTCCAAATTTGAAAACAATCGGTCCAGCAGTTTCGGAGAAAAAGCGTGGACGGCGTACAGCGTACAGACAAAAATATTTGTATTCGTTTTTCGAATTCTACGTTTCCTGAAACGTAAAACCTCAAATCTTGAGAGGGGTTAAGTTGGATCGATCGAAAAATCTATATTTTAATTAATATATTCGATATTTTACCATCGGTAGTAATCTACTTCGATATTATGTATGAATCTGATTGTTAGAAAAAGAATATACTATTCTTGCCTGTTATATATGAAATGTAGTGGAAGAATATTATACCTCTATTAGAGGAAAATAACGATATTATGATAATATGGAATACCGGTGGAAATCCCGAAGTAGAGTTGAATAGCGCACGTGGGACCATTTTCATTAAATTGGACCATAAGTGGGACCATCTTTTTAAACAAAGACCACCAATTGTCAAAGAAATCTATGTAAGACGCATATTTATAAAATTTCGCTGAATACGATCTATGGGTGAACGGAAGGCATAATTGATTGAACGGAAATTTCTGTAAAAAAGGCTGAGGATGAAGGAAATGGGCAGGAACTAGAAAATTAATTTTACTAAGGAGAATAGAAGAATTGATACATCTATTAATTGATTTACAGAGGAAAATTACATCTTTTTTTATATGTGTATTGATATATTGATATATATTTCTATTGATATCAATGCTTCAAAAATATTTAAACTATCGATGAAAATGTCGTCCATCGATATTTCAAGACCGATGTATTAATGGTATCGATCGTTATAGGTAGTGTTGTCCAAAATCGGTCTTGGTCTTGCACTTGCAAGACCAAGACCGCCTATGTGTTGCAATACGAAGACCAAGATTGGTAAAAAAATCGATTTTTTGAATAATAATAGAGACAAAATAGTTACTTATACTTTACAATTTTAGTGACTATATGTAAAGAATAGGTGAAACCAATTTACTTTTGCATTTAACTCTGCTAATTTTTTATTCAGACTTAGTTAGGTTTCTCATATCTAAAAAATTACAGTAATATCTCTACAGAAATTAGCTAATAGGTAACTGCAAGACTGTTACGAGGGTCTTGCGCAAGACCAAGACTGAGTATGCAAGACCAAGAATCGTCTCGGTCTCGCATTTAGTCAACACTAGTTATAGGCCTATATTAATTTCGGTGACTATATCGATATTGGGTCTTCCATATCCTCCATCTTTATCAGGTTACAAATTCTAACAGTGATACAATAAGATGGGATGGATAGGATCGAACGGCAAGCATAACAGAAAAAGTTTGCCAAGTTATCCTAAACTCTGATCATGTACCAACACGATTCAAATGGAGTCGTTGCATTTTGAGTCATTTATATAATTTTATTTTTCTGGTTCATTTTTAAAAGTCATTAATATCAGGGGAACGACATTTATTTTACAGATCCATCAGGATTCGAGACCCGCTGCGAGAAAGCATTTATCTTGTACAAGTTATCAGTTAGCCGGGAAGCTCGCACCAGATGGAGAAGTCCCCAGCTGTGTTCTTCGCTCCCCCCCCCCTTTAGCTCCCAAATCCCATTAAGCGTCTGATGTGATCAAAATATTTCTTTCTTCTTGTCCCTCTTCCTCCTCTCCGGAGGGACGTTAACTCAAATAACTTTACCCACTTTCCTTATTTTCCATCTCTTTAGTCACTAAACGCTTCCTCATCATTTCCTCCCCAGAACTAAAATACGACGACTTGACACTTGTTCCTGACTATTATCCAATTTAACGTTCATTTAGGAATTTAGTGTTAATATTTAAAGGGCCTGCCTATAAAGGAGCCCACCAGAAGGAGAGTCATATCATATTTCCTGCCCTCCTAGCCAAATAAGGAAGTAAAAAAAAAAAAGAATTAAATATAAAACGTATCAATATTGTAAGATATTTATCTATAGAAAACGTTAGAAGTATTCAAGCAAAAATCAATCAACAAATTTAGTGATTTTTTTTTATTGAAAAAAAAATACATTTTGCCTCAATTAAGGGCATTGAGTATTTGAGGTGCATGAAACAATCACACCATATATACAATAAAATTAAAATAATAGAAAATTATAACAAAAGAAAACTAGGAATAACAGAATAAATCAAACCACAATAAATCAAATCACCATATACACAATAAAATTAAAATAATAGAAAATTATAACAAAAGAAAACTAGGAATAACAGAATAAATCAAACATGAGACGACATGTGGAAAACAAAATGTTTAGACACCTACTTTAACTATAACGTACTAAAAACTTATAAGTGCCCATTCGCTTTCCACTTGAATAGCAAGATAATTTGATGATAAAACCGAAAAAAAAAAAGGTGACCACAATAATATTGGGCCGTTCTGATTATATAACCTCGTTGACATATAATTTTGATATGACGGGGGTGGAAGTCACGCCAAACAACACAATATTTTTGTAGGCCACTTTTTGGTTGATGGGTGATCAAAATATATTACGATTAAAGAAGAAAGGACAGCAATTGGGGCTTTATGAGTTTTTAGCAGATAATTAAATATACAACGTTTGCCAATCTTTGGATTGAAAACGTCCCAATTCAGAAAATTTTCGTAAATAAAAAAGTTATATATAGGTTACGATGAGATGAAGATATTCACTAAGTTTTAGGCGAATGTTAATAATTTGATAAAAAGGGGTCTGTACCACGGACTATCTTTTATTATTATTATTTTTTTTATGGACTTTAAGAATCCTCTACTTAAACATAATAACACCTATATGGACATACGGAGTTGAGCTTTGGGGCTCTACCAAACCATCGAATTCCTATCGTATCCAATCCTTACAATCCAAAATCCTTAATGCTCCATATTTTGTCAGAAATAAAACCATTCATAAAGACCTTAATGTTCCATATGCCGCTGATTTAGCCCGATCCAGATAGCTATTCTTTCATGATCAACTCAAGTCCCATCCGAATCCTCTTGTTTCCATACTTGCTTCTTCCTCGATCCCTGATAATCCCTCTTGGCGTCTGAAAAGAAGATGGCCTCGTGATCTTCTCGTCTAGAACTAAATAGGGAGTGCTACCACTGGGCAGTATCTCTTCAAGTCTGTTAGTGTCATGATTTCTAATGTTTTAATATTTTTAATAGTTGTATTGTTTATATAGTTGTAAATTTCATTAAATAAATAAATAACATAAAAAAATATTTTTTTCACACCTGATGATTCAGACAAAAAAAAACCTTGAATATTCTAGAATATTCAAATTCTCTGATTTTTACTTTCACTTTTTTTCTGTTTTCCCTTCATTCGATAGAATGTATACAAAAGTATTTTTATGATTTTTTTTTTCTTCATTTTTTCTGGTTCAGTTTTCCGGCACGTTTCAGTCCTAGAGTTTGTTTGGGTTCGTTTCCATACCCTAACGAACAAATTGATGGGTTGATTGAAAATACACCGGGCCTCTACAACGAGCAGTTGTCCGGCGTGAAGGGTGAATCATTGGGCGCATTGTCGGCGCCCCTCCCCTCCCCCTAAACACGGGGACCGCCACAAAAGAACATCCTGAATACGTAATTGCAACTAATCCCATGTCCGACGAGCACAGGTGGTTGGCCCGTCGAGGACAGGGACAATCGTGAAATTTCCAATTTAATTTCGGCAACCGTGTTGGCATGACTGACAGCGACCGGAGTACGAACGACTGATGGAAAAATAAATTGGAATAACACCCCCCACTTCATTTAACCACTTCAGAAAAGGAGTCGGATCCGCTCGGTTGTACGGCATATATGAGAACTGCGTTTATGATAAAAAAAAAAAAAAAAAATCGATAATTACCTGTCAAATTTACACTATAATATACAATACTGATCCGGCTATCAGGAATGATTCATTTTGATGAATGAGGTATCAAACGAAAGGAAATTTCATAGAGAAATGATGAATCCCAATTCCACATAACATAAAACATTACTAACCTGTACCACTACAACCCATGAAGGGTCTTGGGTGTAGTACAGTGTGAGGAAGTACTGTTACAAGGCCAACGGTTGTGAAGGGCCGATATTACGCTCAACCGCCAGGTTTTCCCTTTTAATTATTTTTTAAAATTAAGGTTACCCAACTTAATAGAGGCTGGGTGTGCCCCAGGAGAGTCTCCCGACCCCAGGATCGATCCACGGCTAATGAAAAATTACTAGTCATTAACCGGATTCGAACCCAGGACCTTGAGCTCTGGAAGTCAGTGTTCCCCACTGAGCTACCCTCAGTATTAATACATTAATAACGCTACGATAAAAGTTATTGAAAAATATGGGAACTTTCAAAATTCAGGTGGTTTCCAAATTTGATGGTATTGAAGCCCCTAGCATATTAGGTGCTATGATTACTAAGTGATGATTATTAGGTGATGTCATGGATTACTTATCACGTGTTTATGTTTTAAAAATGAAAATATTGCTTTCTACGATAGTCTTCAACTAACTAAAAACCTGTTACAAAAGTAAATAGAGGACAGCTCTTTGAACCCTGAATCACTTGGAAGAAAGCATTTTTAAATTTAAATAATATCCTGATATAACTTCTAAAATCTCGGTAATAGACTTCTATACACCAAGAGTGAGAATAATAAACCAAGGCTTTTAAAGTACCAAATAGGTCTTAAACTAGTACTATGAAGTATTGGTATAACTTCAGAAATAAATTTTTATAAAATATACTTTACAAAATCTTTTATTTTACATTAACTTTGTTGTATTTAGTTTTATTGTTGCTGTGTCTTATTATGGTGATAATTTTTGGTGTTATAATATTGAAGAAAAAGATCACGTAGAGAAGTTGAAGTATTTACGGTCTACTAAAAACAAGAAAAATTAAATTAAAGAGGAAGTTGAGGCAAGGATAAAAGCGGAAAATGCGTGATATTTTTTTGTTGCGAAAACTACTTATCTCGTGTATGTTATAAAACTTAAAAATTGGAATTAACAAAATCATAATTCTTCCTCCGATTCTATAAGGATGCGAAACGTGATAGCTTACATGAAGGGATGAGCAACGTCTTAAGGTTTTTGAAAGTAAACTATTGCGAAGAATATTCGAACCGAAGAACGATGAGTCAACCGAAGAAATTTATTCGGCTAATCAACACTGAATTGCGCGAACTGTACCCGAACAATATAATTGAGATGATTACGTCGAGCCGAATACCATTGGCATGCAAAAATTGCTGGACTTGATAAAGAAAGAATTCCTAAAAATTAACATCTGCTGTGCCGACTGGTAAGCGTCCGAGGGGTAAACCGAAGCGAATGTGGGAAGATAACGTTAAGGCTGATCTAGAGAGGTTGGGTTAGGACGGAATAATGCAGAAATCGATAGGCGTATCGGCACTGAACCTTCGTGGTCGCCAAGCCTTATTACTGTATAATTTATTTTATAATATATACTTTGTCTATAATTTCCTAAAATATTAATTTTTTCCCGATTTATATAAAAGCCGATAAATCTACCACATGAAATAATATTACAAGATAATATAGTTATATCGTTATTATAAACAACCATATCCCCCAGATTACCCAAAAATACATAAATATCCTTAAAAAATTCCTAAGATTCCGTGATTGTATTCCTCTAAAACAAGAACAGCTCCTTGTAACCTCCCTTGTCCCCCCCTCATTCTTCCTCCTCTTCGACTATAATTGTTTGATGTATGGACGGCTGTCAGTCAGGCTAGAGATGAGACTCAAGAGACTCAAGAATTACTTCATAAGATGAATCTTAGGGATTCCCAAGCGTTCTCATGTTCCTGCTGGTACACCGAGTTGAAGTGGCCCTATCATACTTCCGGACCTCAATTCCTTCTTGGTATATTCCATTTCCAAGTCCTCAGAACCAAAAACCCTACCTACATCTTAGAACTCCTTACTTTAAGCTCTTCTATCCACTCTCTCAATTTCAGATGTCAACCTATACATTTATATATATCCTCTCATAAAACTAATTCCTTCAGCAAATTCTTCGTCATTCGTGCTATATTCTTCTAGAACTTTTAGCCTAGCACCGTACGTCAATCCTCTTCCACGAATTCCTCCACACGACTCCTATTCCACCACTTACTCCATATTCAAACTTCCTCAAACATGTAAAATATGTTTGCTTCAGAACATTTTATAATGCAATCAACATTTAATTCAGCATCGTTTTGCATACTCATTCATTGTGCGCATGTGAACATCTACAAAAAAATGTCCATCAATAAAGTTAAACTTGGAATAAGTTACACACATATCCTTACGTCAATCAAAGCCGCATTTAGTTTTGAGTTGAGAGTTAGCAGAAACAACCAAAAGCGTTATGATTGTCATTGTAACAACTTATATGATAGGCCCTTTTGAAAGGCGTAGGGTTACATGAAACTACTCTCTTGATTTAATGTAGACGAGACGTCTTTAATAGTCACCCTGAGTGACAGCAATGTCACCGCTCGTGAGGGAGTAATCCACCATCCCGGGCCACGCTAAGCCCTAATGAAGACCTGTTAATTGTACCTTTCAAAACTATCAACCCTCTCTGTAATTAATTATGTCTGCTTTAAAGGAGGCGAGGTAAATTGTAAAAATATCGCAGTTTATCTTCATTATACGCTTCGAACTAAATAAATTAATTATAATAATTGGGAAATGGTTGACTGTCGTAGTTAATGAAGGGAAGAATAGTTGGGGTGGTCAGTCAAAAAAGAAGGCAAAAATAAATGATAATATTTATTTTTACATATGCCGACGTTTCGACCTGAAGTTCAGGCCATCATCAGGGCTAAGAAAAGAACCAGATAACAAAGTATGAGAAATATAAAAATTACAGTAAAATTAAGTTGTTAGAATAATGTAATGTTGTTAGGATAATGTAGAATAATCACTTTGTACCTGTTATTATTATTTGTCTCTTGTCCTTACTATTGTCATTATTCTAACAACTTCATTTTACTGTAATTTTTATATTTCTCATACCTTGTTATCTGGTTCTTTTCTTAGCCCTGATGATGGCCTGAACTTCAGGTCGAAACGTCGGCATATGTAAAAATAAATATTATCATTTATTTTTGCCTTCTTTTTTGACTGACCACTCCAACTATTCTTCTTTCATTATAAATTAATTAGTTTATAGATAATTAAATTTTAAAAAAATATAATATGGGTTGATGGTTGACTATAGTGAATAATTGAAGAGGATGGTTGGAGTGATCAGTCAAAAAAAAAAAAAAAAAAAATAGCAAAATCATTTCTCCAAGCCTTCAGTTCGATCAGCCCTAATGAAAGCCTAAACTTCGGGCCGTCGGCAAATGTAAAAATAAATATTATTATTTATTTTCGCTATTTTTTATATTTTTTTTTTACTGAACACGCCAACCATCCTTCTCTTCAATTAAAAAAATATAATTTTTTTTGTACTGTAAAATTTATTTACACCTGTCTAGAAACAGTTCAACAGACTTGAAAATGACTCTAGTGGTCACCGAAACGTTGTCTGCTATAAAAATTAGGGCGAACGAACCAGTTATGGACAGGAGATCCAGTGATGGACAACTTGGACTTTAAATATAAATAATAAGCTTCCTTGTTGATTTAAAGGTTCCAGTTTTTTCTAGATTGAAGAAGAATGTTCTCTATTGACAACTGTATTAACAAAGTTCACAAAAGAAAATTTTAAAATGCCTATCATTGTTTTTTCTATTGTGGTCTTGAGATGGGTTTAGGTCATTCATACTTTCCTACAAAAAGTTTTGCTAAAAATAACGAACATTTATCTTATCTTTATAATTAAATAAAGATTTTTTTTTTTTGTTGAGGTATGTCTATTACAGATATCGACTCCCTGTCCATTACTAGAACAATTGAATCTCGGGGTGTCACTAGTACGAAAAAGTGTTGTTTTTTTTAATGGAGATCATATCAGCATAAATGATTTTTTTCAATTTTTATATATATAAAATATATGGTTAGCTGCAAAAATGGCGATACTACTGGTGATATCGATATAGATGGTAATATGTTTGAACAGGTAGATAAGTTTAGGTATCTAGGTTCTACGATAACTAGAAAAAACGAAATTTAAAAAGAGATTAAGGTTAGACTGAAGGCGGGAAATGCTTGTTATTTTTCTGTGACAAAACTACTTAGTTCGCGCCTCTTGTCCCGGAACTTAAAAATTAGAATCTATAAAACAATTATCTTGCCTACAGTTCTTTATGGATGCGAAACTTGGCCGCTTACATTAAGGGATGAGCAGCGTCTTAAGGTTTTTGAAAATAAAGTATTGCGTAGAATATTCGGACCGAAGAAGGATGAGTTAACCGGAGAGATCAGACGGTTACACAACGCCGAATTGCGTGAGCTGTATCCGGGTAATATAATTGAGGTATTTTCATCGCGGCGAATCAAATGGGCTTGTAAAGTTGTTGGGCTTAGTAACGAAAGAATTCCGAAAAGGTTAGTATTTGCTGTGCCGAATGGTAAGCGTCCGAGGGGTAGACCGAAGCGAAGGTGGGAAGATTGCATTAAAGCTGATCTGAAGGGACTGGGTTTGGACGGCGAACGGTGGATGGAGGTGTGTAACAAGCGATTAGTGGTGTCGGCATCGAACCTTCGGGTTCGCTAAGCCTTATTATTATTATTT